CGTCATTATAACAAAAATTTGATTCGGCTAAAGTTTCTTCAATGATTTTCAATGCTTATGTTCAATGTGGGATATTCAATTGATTAGGTTGTCAATGTTTTTTTTTTGTTTCCGTTTAAAATGTTTTTACTTATCTTGCTTTTTGTGTGTGTGTGTGATAATCACACTTGTAGTTGTTGTTGTTGTTGTTTTGTGTGTGGTAAATGAGGCCACTTTGAACATCTTTTTTTTCTCATTCTGTATTAGTCTGATGATGATAATAATGATTGATTTCAAAACATAAAACCCGATAAATAATTGAAAGGAAAAAAATTATCTTTTTTTAAATATTTTATTTATTTATCACTGGATTTTGTTGTTAATTAATCAATCAATCAGCGATTAATTGAATGGTGGTGCGAAATTTGTTGGCGACGAACGAGAAACGACGAACGACGAACGACGAACGACGAATGACGAATCACGAAACGACGAACGACGCACATGAAAGTCCTCATTATCTTCATTAATTTAAAATAAAAAAAATTCTTTTCTGTTCAATGCCTATTCATTGATTAAGACATTGTGTGTTTTTGTTTATGTTTGGATGTGTAACAAGGACAACATGCACATAAATATGGAACAAATCCAATTGCTCACGTACAACCACGATAAATATATATATTGTTTGATTTAAAAATCAATTGATTTGGTCAGAAAATCTAAAAATTTATTATTTTTATCATATCCTTAATGAAGCGTAAATAAAATTTTGGCTATAATAAATAGATGGATGGATGAATGGATACAATGACAAAATGTGTATGTATGAGTGTGTGTGTGTGTGGGTGTGTTTAGGGCGTGGGAGGAATAGAAAAAAAAATTTTTTCTGAAACATGATGTTTGTTTTTCGAAGCGGCTAAACGACAAATTATTGGCATGGTAAAAAAGATGACCGATGAGAGGCGAAAACAATATCAAACATTGATTGACGACATGGAACGGGACGATATCATTGGAAAAACTGAAGTAAATCCACACGAAGGTTACCACATGCCACACTTCGTCATCACCCGTAACGATAAAAACACAACAAAGATGCGAATGGTCTTTAACGCCTCCAACGGAAGTAAACCGCTAAATAAGGCCATATTTAAAGGAGTTACGTCGTGGCATATTATACGATCACTTCTCTTCTTCCGATTACAATCAATAGCAGTGATAAGCGACATCAAGGCAGCCTTTCATAATATTGTCATTCAAGAAGTACATAGGCAGTTTGTCAAATTCTTATGGGTGGAACCAACTGATCAACTAGTTTGTTATCGTTTCAATCGGCTGCCCTTTGGGCTTTCATCCAGTCCTTTCATACTATACGCGGTAATTGTTCACCACCTGAAGAAATACCAGAATCGATATCCACAAACCGTATATGCAATAAAGAATGGGCTATACGTTGATGATCTAATCATGTCAGCACGAAATCCGCTGGAAGTACAGCTGTTCAAAGACCAAAGTCAAGAGATATTCGCAGATGCATCGATGGAGCTACGAAAATGGCGATCATCCGAACCAACATTGAATAAGAAATGGAACGATGGCTTAGCGGAAAACAAAGTATTGGGAATCGAATGGTCTGAAGACGACCGGATGAAAGTGATGATCCCCGAATTCGACGAAACAGACAAAATCACCAAACGACTGTTGTTGAGTTACCACGCTTCCATCTATGACCCATTTGGCTTCGTATTAGCATCCACGCTTAAACTGAAAATCCTTATCCACAAAGTATGGACGGGCGGATTCGATTGGGACGACGAATTGGATACGAATTTACTGAAGGAAGCCAAACTAGTGATTAAAGACATAAAGAAATTGAACAGTTTCAGCTTCCAACGGAAGATATTTGACCAACAAACTGACGAATTTGACTTGTGGATTTTCGTGGACGCAAACAAGAACGCTATCGGAGCAGCCTGTTATCTAACCAATGGATCCACCGGAAGTTTGATCTATGCCAAGTCGAAGTTGATCAAACCGAGGAAAATCGTAAGCAGCGAATTATTAGCATTGACGATGGGTGCCAACATTAGTCAAACTTTGGCGGATTTATTGAAACCTAAAGAAATTGTCTTATTCTCGGATTCACTAGATAATGTCAAACGACTAGACGAAGATATTAATCGGTATCCATACCCGGTGGCGGTCCACTTATTCAATATTAAATCCAAAGTGGCGACCATACAACATGTCAATGGCAAGAAAAATCCAGCTGATGCTTTTACACGAGGGGTAACGATCGACGAACTTGAAAAACTACATCGGCTAAATATTCAAGACATTGTTAACGATCCACCTTCACTTATGATGTTGCAGACAAATCATAATGACAAAACCATAATGGATACAATGACAAAATGTGTATGTATGAGTGTGTGTGTGTGTGGGTGTGTTTAGGGCGTGGGAGGAATAGAAAAAAATAATTTTTTCTGAAACATGATGTTTGTTTCGATATAAATAATAGTGTAGAATACAAATGAATCTAGAATGGTTTGTGTGTATGTATAATTGATTGAATGTCATCATCATAGGCGTTTGATGATGGTGATGGTGATAGATAATTTATTTTCATGTCACACACACACACACACACCAGCAACAACAACGATAATGGTCAATTCTTTGATTTTACATTCTTCATTTTGTTTTTTTATTATTATTATCACCAATATTTGGTCTTTCAATTTTCATTTATTTTTTTTTTTGTTATCAGTCATTCATTTTTTTTGTGACCAAATAAATAACCAGACTTGTAATAAAAATTGGATCTTAAAAAAATGAATAAACATTGATCAGAAACTTTTTGTTGTTGTTGTTGTTGTCCACATACCATTGATTGTTATTGATTATTGATTGTATCGAAGGAAAAATCATTCTATGGTCTTTATACCTGCACACACACACACACATACATATTGTAGGGATCCAATCAAATCAAATCATATTGAAAAATCGAAAATTGACATATTGATTGTGTGTGTGTGTGTGTGTGTGTGTGCTCGCATATAAAAAGAATATATTTTTTGAATCAAAAATTTCAAATGGAAGCAAACAATTTTTTTTTCTGGTTCAGGCAATATTTTTCACTATATGTTGTTAGAAGATGCACATGCTATAATAATACGTCAACAATGATCGTGTTTATCATTAATTATCATTTTCTCGTTCACATGTTTTCTGTTCTATTATTGGATAGGAACCAAGATTGATACTTTCTATTTCTTTCGATTTTCTCATCTTCTTCTTATTCTTCTTCTTCTTCTTCAAAAAACACATTCATTCTTTGGTTCAATTGCTATTTACAAATTGAACGAATGAATTTCGATTCGATCATCATCATCATCATCAACCAAATGATCGAACACACACACACACACACATATTGAAAACATTGAATCTTTGTTCCTGTTGTTGTTGTTGTTGTTGTTGTTGTCAATGTCTATGTGTATATTCTATGCTGTGTATTTGTATGTTTGCTTTTTTTTGTAACTAAATTTAGCCATTCAACCGAAATGAAAAATCCACTGCCTAGAAAATGTGTGTGTGTGTGTGTGTTTTTCTGGAATCAATTTATAAATATATCTATCTGGATTGAATCTATTCTCCATTCTCATATTGTTGTTTCGAAATGGAATTACCGTTGTCGACTAGAGCAAAAAAAACATTTGATAATTTATCATCAAGCTAATTTGCAGCAAAGACACACACACACACACACACACACATTTGCACTTTCAATTATAACACCATTCGAATAATCGTTTGGATCACACAAAGATCATTGGATTCTTTTTGAAACAATAAGCAGAAACTTGAAAATGTTCAATTCATCAATCTTCTTCTTCTTCATTCATTCATTCATTAATTTGAAGAACTTTTTGTTCTTCATAGTTTTCAATTTTGCAATTTTATAAATCTAAAAATAGCCAAAAAAAAATGTATCATTCACATATGTCATGTCATGTTTCATTTGTATATTGTTCAATAATAATGTGAATGAGTAAATGTTTTTGCGATAATTATTAATCCACATCGTCATCATCATAACTCCAATTTTTTTCGGTTTTTGGGTGGTTAGACAACAACCAAAACAAGAGATTTATTGTAAAATGATTAATTATTATTATGATCTAAAGGTAGATTTTTTTTAGATTTAGAATTGAAAATGACTTGTGGTTTTTTTCAGAATATTGCTGCTGCTGCTGCTGGTGATAGGGGTGGGGTAATAACAAGAGAATCATTAGAAAATTCGAATGTCATTTCAACAATGAATGATTATGGAAGAAAATGATAACGATAATAACGACAACAACAACAACAATATAATTACCATAATTACCTTTCTCTTTTGTGTATGTGTGTGTCCATGTACATATCATCATCATCATTTTCATTATTATGAATGGTCATTCATAATTCCCAAAACTGTCATTTAAAAAAATGTCCATTGTTCTTGTTATTTTTTGTTGTCATCAAAGAATTTTTTTTTTCATATTCAGTTTTTTTTAATGACTTGTTCAACTTGGATTTAAATTTAAATGACTTTTGTATGTCTGATGACCATTTTTTTTTTTTTTTTTGTTATTCTTTATGAAATTCTGCAATGGGAAAAAAATGAAAAATTCCATAAAGAATGGCTGAATTGTGTTTGTGGTTAATTAATAAATGCTAGCCATCGCCATCATCATGAAATTGTCATCATTTTATTCTGGTCATCTCGGAAAAAAACATTAACTTTTTTTTCCTAATAAAAATCATAATAATTCCTGAATCCATATATGACAAGAATGTTAATTATTTTTTTTTTGTTGAATTGATACGTCAAAGAACGAGAGACTAATCATAATTCATCATTTGTTTTTGAATTTCTTAATGAATTTTTTTTTCTTTTTTGATTATTAATTGATTTTTTCTAAAAAATTGTTTTTTTTTGTTTTGTTTATTTCCATTTAAAACAATAGATAATCATCATCATCAGCATAATGTTCATAATAATAATGGCCAAACGGTTGGATCATTACCAAGACCACCAAGAATTAAAGAACATCCAAACAGTGCTGTTGTTAAAAAACATGAACCGGTCACATTATCATGTAAAGCAGATGGTGATCCTGAACCGGTTATTGATTGGTATTACATGATGAGAAATTTTGATTTTTTCTAAAATTTTTTTTCCCATTTTGTTTTTAATATTCAGGTATCGAGATAATGAATTGGTGAAAAAATCTTCAAATCATATCTACCTAAATAATGGTGATCTATTCATATTAAAAGTAATGAATCATCGTAAAGAACGAGATACAGGCATTTATTATTGTTTGGCACGTAATATACATGGTAAAGCACGTAGCCATAATGCTAGTATTGAGATTGCAAGTAAGTATATTTTATGTTTCATTCCATTCTCTATATCCGATATATATTAGATTTTTATTCAAATTCAATCAATCCAATTGATCCACTACTTGATTTTTTTTTATACTGAATCATGTTTTGTTTTATCATTTTTATTATTCATATGATAATTACTCTTTGGTTCTTTGGTTTCTATTGTCTTTTTTTTCATTCTTTCCGTGTTCATAAAATGAAAAAAAAACTTTTTCCGATTGTTGTTCTTGTTGTTGTGATTGTTTAGGTATATCATCATTAAGATAAGAGGAACGATGAAAAAAAAAGTTTAGCTTTTTTTCCATCATCATCATCATCATTCTATTTCTTAAGATTTTTCCATTCTATACATAGAGTTGATATCTTTCTTTTCTTTTGTCATTCATTCCTTTTTGGATGATATGATCTTTGTTTTTATTTTTCTACTGTTGTTGTTGTTGTTGTTGTCCATACAACAAGGGAGACAATTCAGAAAATCTTTGTAATAATGACATGTTGTTGTTGTTGTTCATTCGATGGGTATATGTAATGAGGGATGATGATGATGATGATGATGATGATGGACTGAAAAACAAAAACAAAACTAGATAACAATAAAGGAAGTGAAAAAAATGAAAAAAGTTACCGGTAATGAAAAAAAAAGTTAGCTATCATTATATAGAGATTAGAATGGTAAACGATGCATGTAATTTTTTTCTTTGTATATATATTTTGATTATTAACGAAAACAAAAAAAAATCGCATTGTTGTTGTTGTTGTTGTTATTCATAATAATGAATATTTCCATCGACCAGAATATTGAGATACATTTTTATCCTTCAATGTTCTCGTTTTTTGTTTTTGTTTTTGATTTTGATTATGATGATGATTACCACCAGGTATCTTTACATTATTTAGTTTTCGTTGTTGTTGAACAAAATTCGTCTCATCATCATCATCATCACTAATGAGAATAAGAATTCAATGTCTAATGATAATGATGATGATTGCTAACGAATGAAGCAACAGAGAGAGAGAGAGAGAGAGAGTTTCTTTACTGCGTTTAAATCACCATAGAAAACCATTGCATCATAACCTTTTCTGGCTATAGCTTTTTTTGTTTTTTTTTGTCGAAATCGATTTTCTCTTCTCCCTTTCGTCATTCAAATGTTGATGATGATGATGATGATGATAATAATGATAATGATGGTGATTGCACATCATTGATGATTACATTTTTTTTGATATAACATAAAATAATGTCTGAAAATTTTACAAGGTTAATTATCATTTTCATAGTGTTGTTGTTGTTGTTGTAATGTAATTTAATCAATTCCTTTTTTTTCTTTCTCTCTCCCCTTTTTCTTCATTCGTATCGATTGCATATAGGGAATATATAAATCAAAATACTATGATCCTCCCTATGTATTGTTTGTTTATTGTTATAAACTTGTCTAAATTGATGATAAATTGCTTGGTGAAACAAAAAAAAAAAATAAAAAAAGAATTATCCATGTTCTTGATAATGATACGAATTGTACAAACAATTCTTCTTTTTTTTGTTTCGTTTTGTTTTGTTATTTTAATTATTCTAATGGATGAATTTTCGATATTATACCATTGGACATTGTGTTATTGGTGTTATTACCAAATACGATTTTGATGATGATGATGATGATGTGTTTGGACATCATTCATCCATTTTTTTTTCTTTCTATCATATACGACTAATTTGTCGTACACTGTTTTCGGATAATAAATTTGATGAATGAATCGAATGAATGTATGTGTGTGTGTTCAGTCACCCCAGTAAACATGTATATATATATATATATGTTATAATTATGACAGCCTACGGATTTTTTTTTTTTCTTTAGAAAAGTTTTTAGTTTCTCTTATATTGTGTTGGAGTATAAGTTCATCATCATCATGATCATTATTATTATTAACACGCCGCTTTGTGTATATTAATGGGCAGGTATAAAAAAAAAACTTGAATTTTTTCTTAAAAAAAAAGAACGAAAGACATACCATTTCATTCAAAAGTTGATCTAGTTGTAATTTGAACAAAGATGATGATGATCATCATCATCATCATGATGAACAATTAGGTGTCACAAGTAGACATTTTTCTTTTCTTACAAATTTGGTCATTCAAGCAACAAACACACACACAGTTTCATCCATTTACCATTAACTTTAAGTTATGTGTGTGTGTGTGTGTGTGGATCACAAAGTTTTTTTTTTTGTTATAATAATTACCGCCCTATGAATGAACTTTTTTTTTAAATTTAAAATAGGAAAATTATTTGAAAAAAATAAAGTTTTACCAAAGAAACTTGATCATCATAACCAAAACGGTAATGTGTAATTGTATTTATGGAAAAAAAAGAACAAATCACTATCGAGTGATTTATCTTTCAACAACCTATAGAAATAATAAAAGTGTACGATGATGACAAAAATCTATTGAACTCTGAATATGAAAAAAAAATTTGGTTTCTAAGACAGAAGAAAAAAAAAGTTTACGAAAATACACTGGAATCAGGCAACATTATTGCTGTCCATTCAGATGATATGTTCTATACACGTTTATCTGTCTGTGTGTGTGGTATATATGTTATTATTATTATTAGCTATGAAGAAAAAGAAAAAAAAGATGCCATTTCGGATTCTACGATCGTCCCATTGTTTCTTCAAATGTTCTTGTGAAAGAAAAATGACAAACGAAAAAAAAACAACAACAACAGTAACATTACCATCATCATCATCATCATCATCATTGGGCTAAAAAAAGATGTTGTTGTTGTTGTTGTTTTTTTTCAAAAAACTAAGTTTTCGTATCTTCTTCATTCGTTTTAATATATATAACGATAAATAATCGATTCTTTCAAACATCTCAAGAGTGTAATTTAGTTGCTCGCCCTGAAAAAAAAGAATGAAGAAAAACATATTGCCTGTTCATTGATTTTTTTTCACTATTCTTCTTAGATTTATTCTTGGTTAGCAGTGTTCCTTGATGATGATGATGGAACTTGAAACTACGAAGAATTTCGAAAAAAAGCTAAAGATTCTTTTGGTTGCGAAGATCGTTAACTGTGATGTATTATTTTTCATTCATTTTTGCTTTTTATCCGCGATCTATAAACACAGCAAAATTCCATCAATTTTAACAAAGGTGTACATACTATCCGCCTTATTTGTCAGTTGAATAAATTGATATCCAATGTGTGTGTGTGTGTGTGTGTCCTTTATTTTTGCGGCATAAGAAATTTAAGCTTTTCATCTCAATATATAATAAAATGGTTTATGCTCTTTAACACCATCAATTTCTAAGAAGACAAAATTTTTTTTTCACATTTTACACTATGATCAAATTTCCATATATTTGATAAATAGATTGATTTTTATGAATAAATGAATTAATTATTTAAATTTTGGTTTTTTTTTATTTTAATTTTTGTTGTTGTTGATTAATTATCATTTTTCTTCCCCCCATTTCATATATAGCAATACGAGATGATTTTCGTACATTACCGAAAAATGTATTCGCAACGGTTGGTGAAATGGCCATGATGGAATGTTCACCACCACGTGGTTATCCTGAACCGACGGTTAAATGGCGTAAAGATGATCATTTATTACCAATGAATGGTCGTTATCGTTTATCTGGTACAAATCTTCAGATTAATAATGTACAACCTGAAGATAATGGCCGTTATCAATGTATTGCTCAGAATATGGCCGGCTCAAGAGAATCACCACAAGCTCAACTTAATGTTCGAGGTATTTTTTTTTTTCGTTTGTTATGACAATATTCGATTGATCCATTTTAATATTCATCATCATAGTGAAACCACATTTCATTATAAAACCGGAAGATATGACAGCATTAGCAAATGAAATTGCCGAAATTCATTGTAAAGTTGGTGGTGATCCAGTTCCTAATGTTAGTTGGCGTCGTGAAGGTGGTCAAATATCCTCGCAAAGGTAAAGACAAAAAAAACGATAAAGAAAAATCAATTATAATTAATCATGTATCGTTTTTTTTAAATCTTATCATCCATTTATTCATCCATCATGTATTGTTGAATAGAGCTTCGATAACCGAAGATAATTCATTGAGAATCTTTAATGTTACCGAAGAAGATGAAGGCGTATGTATAAAAATTTTTTTTCACAAAAAAAAAATTTGAATAATCTATATTCGTTTTTTTTCTTTCATCGTTCGGGTTAATATCTTTTGTTCTATCATAGCTTTACATTTGTCAAGCGGAAAATCTCGTTGATCGAATATCACATTCAGCGACATTAATCGTACATTGTAAGTATAATATGTTTTTATGTGTGTGTGTGTGTCTGTGAAACAGATAAGGAACTGATTTTTTTTTTTTTTTGGTTTCGGGTTGATTGATGATGATGATGATGATGATGATGATGGTACCAGGCAATATTTTTTGTCATTTTTTGTTTTGATAAGACTTTTTTTTGTTCGGTTATCTTTTTTTGATTAGGAAGAATATTATTATTATATATGGAAAAAAGGTGTGTGTGTCACTTGTCTGATTTTTTCTTATTATTTCGTTCACAAATCCATAAGTTTTGAGCGATAGAGACAGAGAAAGAGCATAACTAAACGACGTGAAATAGATTGACTATAGGCACGCCACAGATGATGATGATTATGATAAACGAATGTTGAATATTTTCCGGTGCTGAAATGACAGAAAAATGATTTAAATGATTGAAATTTGTGATTTTTCTTCACAGTTGATAATTCCGTTTTTCTTTTTTTTTTTTTGTATAAATAGCAAAACCAACATTTTTAATTGAACCAAAAGATGTTCGTGTAACAATGAATTCAATGGCTAGATTTGATTGTGTTGCTAATGGTAATCCGAGACCATCAGTTTTCTGGAACAAAGAAGGAAATCAATTTCTAATGTTTCCGGATAATAAATATGAACGTTTTATGGTTACACCAGAAGGATCGTTAATCATATCGCCAGTAAAAAAAGAAGACAAAGGCTATTATGTATGCTCAGCATTATCGGTTGTTAGTTCAGCACGAACAAAAGCTTATCTAAATATCAGTTCTTCAGCTGATTTACCGCCACCTATTATTGTACTTGGACCAGCCGATCAAACATTACCCGAACATACGACAGCAATATTACCTTGTGATGTAACCGGTGCACCACAACCATCATTGAAATGGTTTTTTAATAATTCACCAGTTCCAGTGAATACTGTTGCAAGATTTAATATACTAGATACTGGTACATTACAGATTGATGGTAATAATGTTTTTAAATTTTTAATCATTTTTTAAATTTAAATCTAAACGTTTTTCTTTTGTTTTTCAGATTTACAATTATCAGATTCTGGTGAATATAAATGTCTTGCCTATTCAGAGAATGGTGAAGCATCGTGGTCAGCTCGATTAACGGTTGTATCACCACATAGTACGAATACAATGTTTCATCGTATGCCTGATCCGGCAACATTTCCAGATGCACCAAGTCGTCCAAACATAATGAATGTAACGGAAACTTCTGTAACAATATCATGGATACGTACCGGTCGTGATGGTACATCGCCCTTCAAAGGTGTAATCATTGAATATTTTAGTCCCGATTATCATAATGAATGGATTAAAGCAGCTAAAGGAATAATTTCGGATCGTTTCACTATAAACGGACTTAAAAGTGGATCACGTTATTATTTTCTTGTTCGTTCAGAAAATGGTCATGGTATTGGACCACCAAGTCCAATTTCATATGAAGCACGAACATTAGGACCGATAGCTGCTGCTAATGCTGCTGCTGCCAATCATATGATGGCAACACGAATGTTGGATATGAATGATATACGGAAAAAATTAGAAAACACTATAATCGAATTGAAAGATGTACGAACAATTAGTTCTTCAGCTGTAAAATTATTTTGGAATGTACATGGTGGCAGTAATCATGATTATATTGAAGGTTTCTACATCCGTTATCGTAAGATTGATCCCAATCAAGAATATAACAACAATCACAATGGTGGTGGTGATTTACGTGAAAATTATTCGGAAAATAAATATCAAATGCATACAATTTATAATGGTGGTGCAACAACATACATAATCAATAATCTACCTAAATATACAGCATTTGAATTTTTCCTTGTTCCGTTTTATAAATCAATTGATGGAAGACCAAGTAATAGTCGTATTGTACGTACATTGGAAGGTGTTCCATCGGCATCACCAACAATGATTAAAGCACGACCAATTAGTTCGGATTCAGCATTGATTACATGGCAACCACCACCAATGGAAGAAATGAATGGCCTTTTATTAGGTTATATAATATTTGTACATGGAGCATATACGGCATATAATATTAATCTAACTGTCAATGCTAACACAACATCATATCTATTGAGAAATCTTACATCGGAAACAGAATATGTTATACAGATCACTGCATTCACTAGTGTAGGTGTTGGTGTACCATCAGCACCATTAACATTCATCATGGATCCATTAATGATGTCAAATGACGATGTAATCTATATGAATGAACATAATCAAACCGGAATATTGGATTCATCGAATGTTTGGATATGTGTCCTGATTATATCGTTGATTATCCTTAGCCTAATCGTATTATTATTAGGATTTTTACTATTTAAAAAACGTTCGGCAATCATACGAAAGAATAATGAAAATTCAATGATTAATCGTGAATTAAAATCCACACAACCCAATGATTTATTCTGTTCACGACCATTCGATTTTCCAAAAGGATGGCAACAAAATGATAATATTACCAAACAACAACAACAGCAACAACATTCATTAGGAACAATGATAAAATTATCACCAACATTAATAACAACCGATAATAATGGTTATTCAACGGTGACAACCGATGATCAAGCAGCTGATTATGCTGATTATGATTATGTATCACAACAAGGTGAAAATAATTATGAATCAACTACCTATGAACCATATCCATCAACAGCGACAACAATAACAGCACGTGACAATGATGATGGTCCGATTGCATATGCTAGTTCAAGTATTGTAATCAATAATAATAATAATAATAATACGTTGAACAACAATTCATATCGATTGAATAATAGCCAGACAAATAATAATAACAGCAATAATCATCAACCAATGCAATGGCGTACACAATTGTTAAATGTTAATAAGAATGATAATCATATGAAACCATTAAATTTTACGGCAACATTAGATCGTGGAACATTGATGCTTAACAGCAATAATAATAATAGTAATTCATCATCAGTTATTGATAATCGTTATGGTAAAAAGAATCTATTTATCAACGATATTATTAATGGTATCGGTAGTGGTGGTAAAAATATCAATGTAACTGAACCATTAATTAGTAGTGGCCATCATCTTAATCATCATCATAATCATATGGATTATGGTGATAATGATATTAATCATTATCATTATGCTGATTCAGCTGCATATTGTTCATCAGGTGTTAATATTGGTGCTGATGCGGCGGGTATTGCCACCACTGGAAATGTAACACAAATTCCATCATCAAAATTAATGGCAAATCAAGTTAAATATGGTTCATTATCAAGAATTAATAAACAACAACAGCAGCAACTGCAACAACAGTCTCATTATCATTTTGATAATATTAAAAATGGTTCGAATAATAATTTCTTACAAAATGATAATAATAATCTAAAGGTAATTAACAACTGGACTTGATTTAAATTATTTGTTATTAATTGTTTTCTTTTTATTTAACACAGACAAAACCATCATCATCATTTGCGTTAACATCAACAAATGATAATAATACGATACAATCACCTAAGACACCATTGAAAAATCAATTTGAATTCGATATCAAAGCATTTAGTAAAAATCGTACACATCTTATACAGAATCCATTGTTGACAAATAATCAACAACAACCAATGGGAGTGATGATGATGATGAATCCGAATACTCAATATGAAAGCCGTACAATTAAACAACAGCAAACATCATTGAATGATATGAACCACGCTGGCAGTATATATCTATCACGAAGAGCTGATTCGAAAAACATAATAGATATCTGTGATAGTGAATCTACCTATCAAGAATTGTCTTGAAACACATATACACATGAAATAATAACCCATTTTCTCGATCACATTCTCTTTCTCTGTTTGTAATATTTTTTTTTGTTTTTTCTTCTTTTTTTTTGTTAAATGAATTTTTCTCTTTCTTTTTTGCTAGTTATTGTCTATGTCACAATTCAATTGATCTGAACCAAACATACAAAAACACATTAAATGTACGTACAGTTGTCACAACAAATTTTTCTTGTAAATTCTGCTCTGTTTGTTGTTGTTGATGACCAAAAATGTTAATAAAAAACAAAAAATTCTTTACAATAAAATTTTGGAATAAATTTTCAAGTTTTTTTTATTCTAATCAATAGATGGCGCTAAAATTTTTGTTGGAATTTTACTTGGTCGGAATTTTCTTTGAATTCTTTGAATGTTTAACATTTTTTTTCATTATTGCATAAAGCAACTTTTTCAAAAACTTTCTTCAACATCATCATTGAATCAAATAATCACGTATCATCATAATAATCGTGTAAAGCCGATAAGTATTTTGATTTAAAGGGGCCAGGGCGTTGCACGCATACACACACACACACTCACACACAAAATCCCAGGGATTTATTATTCTGCATCGAAAACTTGCCCGCTTCCTACACAACATCAATGTCAAAAGACAAAGGCAAAGTCAAATTCAAGTCAAAAGCAAATAAGAAATAATGATAAGGTTCCGAGAACGATCGTTCATCTCATCTTATCTTACTTTTTCTTTCCAAAAAAAAAAAAAAAGAAAACATTGAAAATTAAACGAAAACAAACGTTTTACATATCATCATCATCATCATCTTTTCTGACTTCTATCGTAGTTTTTGTTGGAGCCAGATGGGATTAATCGAAATACATTCACGTTCCTTTGGTATTTACACATTCTATGATTCATTCAATGATCCATATACCCATTAGATTAACCATCAACAAATCAACAAACAAAAACAAATATAGTTGCAGAATACTGTTATATTAGATTTTTTGTTTCTTTCATTACCAAAACTATAAAATAAAATAGAATGAATTCTGGTTGTTCTATTTGTGATTGTGTGTGTGTGTGTTCTATGATCTGTTTATATTCATTCTTAAAATGGAGAACTTTATAAAAAAAAGTATCATCAGCTACATTTCCGCCGCCACCTCTATTGAACAAGCTGCGATTGTGCACCACGTATCGATTACAATATCAATTCATTGTTAACAGCATCCAGACAGCAAGCTCGTTTATTTTTTCATCAAAAAAAAAAACATTATCATCATCTAAATTCGTCTACATCGTATTATCCTTATTTTTCGACAACAGAGAAAAAAAAATATAACAAGAAAAACAATTTTAAAAATCACATGCAAAGTTTAATCAATTTGAAAGTATCAATGAAAAGTGATTGTTTTTTTGTTGTTGTTGTTGTTGTCGTTGTTGTTAGAATATAAAACCAGAGTATATATGTTTATTGAATGAATGAAAAGAGTTGTCTTTCATCAACTTGTTTAACATTGATTGTTTATAATAGATTGATTTTGATCCTCAATACTATACTATACCAGACACACATCATATGCCATCAAATGGTGTGATGCTAAAGATTTTTGTATTTTTTTTTTTTTTTGTTTTCTTTTAACACAAAATTCTTTTTTCACAAAATCTAGCATATATGGATATTTGTTATGGGCCAAATTCCAATGTAAATTCAAATCGTGATTATGATGATGATGATGATCTACGATTCACGATGTAAGGTGTTTTTTATGTTGTTGTGTAATGTAATTTGTTGATAATAATAATAATATCAACGACAACATTGTATGGTTATCCGAAAACATAGTGATTTGGGATATTCTGCCCCAAAAAAAAAAATAAAATAAAATAAACGAAATTGCAGCTGGTAAAAACGTATCTGTGTTTTTTTTTCACCATTTTATAACCAATAACATATACAAAAATGCATTCATTATTATTCCATTTTATTTTGATGATGATCGGTATAATCATTCATTCATTCATTCATTTATTTATATTCGTTTTTGAGATTTTATTTTTTTCTCCACACATTGCCTGCCAAAAACCTCCCACAGATTGCCTACGATTCATAATGATGTAATATTATTGCATTTTAAAATATAACTAACAACAACGATTATTATTATTTATTATCAAAATTAATATGATCAATCCGGTGTGTTAAGTGATTTTTTTGTTTTGTTTTGTTTCAAGTTTTCCTATTTTTTTAAGCTATCTGTTTATTATGAAATAGATTTTGGGGTGATGATGATGATGAGGATGATGATGTGTGTAGGCAATCATCAGATTATCATGTTACATAGGTAGTATAAGATAATTGCTACAATGAGATAGGTGAGGTGGTGCAACATGATTATTACGATGATGATGATGACCATCATCGATCGTTATATGAATCATGTGTGCTTCATTGATTGATTGCATCAATTTTTTTTTGTATACGAAATTTGTCCAAACACTTTTTTTCGGGTTACTGTATGATTTTTCCATGAAATTCGGACATGAACCCAAATAATGGTCAATTGGCAATTAGTTCATTCAGTTGTAGTATTTTTGTCCAAAATCGGCTGATTGCATTTGATCATTGATGATGATGATGATGATTGTGAACCAGATATACAAATAAGTCTCGTGCTGTGAATCTGAATTTATTGTCGATGACAATAAGTGAATGTGATCATCGAACCAAAAATGTGAACAAAATACTCCTTGCTGTGTGAGTGCGTTTTTTTTGGAATATTCATTCAATAGTCTGAATTAGTCTGTTTCTCTCTCTCTCTCTCTCTCTCACGCTGTCCTGATATATGGATGGTCGTCATTGTAACAATTTATTGAACCAGATTTTTGCTTTTTTCTTCTCTATTCTGATTTTCAAATTCATTCAATAGATATGAAATCAGACACGTGCCGAATACGTATTGCTAATAGGCATGTATGTGTTGTTTATGTTGGCTTTAGTTCGTGTGAACTTGAACGGTGAATTCATTCATTATGGAACAATAATAATGATGATGATGATGTTATATTGGATCAAATTGCAATTATTATTGGAAAGTAGATTTGATGATGACGATGATTATTATAAGATGATTTACGCTCGATGAACAAAATGTTGAACGCGTGTTCTAAATTTACGTGTTTTTTTCAGAAGTCCTCTGGTTCTGTCATCTTCAAATCATCATCACTGATCAACTGTAATCATGCGATCTTTGTTTATCAAAAAAAAAAATTGTTAAAACAAAATTCAACAAATTCAATGATGAAATTGAAATCAGAACGAAAAAAAGTCATAAAGTCCAAATGTTTGTTTGTTTGTTCATTGTTTTGTTAAGATCACTTGACTGTATGCGTGTGTGTGTGTTTGTGTGTATTTCAAGAATGGGAAAATTCTTGAATAATTCAGTCCAATAACGTCAAATATACCAAATGACAAATCGATCATTTCCTCTGGAAATGAAATTTGATTCATTCATCCATTCAGCCATTCAATGTGTGTCTGTGTGTGTGTCCATTATTTGTTCCCAAAAAAAAAATAAATTGCCATTTTTTTCATATTTGAAATGAAAAGAAAAATATCATCATTGACAATTTGGTCAAATAAATTGACTATATATGATGATGATGATGACTTGAGGCAATATCAAAATATTTTCTTCATTCATTTTTTCCAATCTTCCTGTTTGTGTGTTGCATGTTTGATGTCCAAATTCTTTATCATAAATGAATGAATTTATCCTAAACACACACACACACACACACACATGATTCATTTGTTCACATAAAATATATTGATCTAGAATAAACATTACAAAATATAAATTTTCAACGATAAAGAAAAACAAACTAAAATTGTCATTTATCAAAGAAACAAACAATTGGAATGAAATCATATTATTGTACCTTTTCACATTTTTTTTCAAATGTAGGTCTTCATTTCATTTTAGGTTTTAATGCAAGAGAAGCGAATAATGACAATTTGGTCAAATAAATTTATATATGATGATGATGACTTGAGGCAATATCAAAATATTTTCTTCATTCATTTTTCCAATCTTTCCTGTTTGTGTGTTGCATGTTTGATGTCCAAATTCTTTATCATAAATGAATGAATTTATCCTAAACACACACACATACACACACACACATGATTCATTTGTTCACATAAAATATATTGATCTTGATGAATAAAGCTAAAATTGTCATTTATCAAAGAAACAAACAATTAATATTAATCAAATGTAGGTCTTCATTTCAGGTTTTAATGCACAATCGATTCTATGATATTTAGATAATGATATTGATGAATGGCAATATGACACACACAATAATAATAATGATAATGATGATCAATGCATAACACATTCAATTATTTCGATTGTTTTTTTTTATTTCGTTTCTGTTGATTGGTATAGCAAGCGGGAGGGGGGGAGAAACTAATACGTATTATTACAACAACTACAAGAATATTCATTTCATTTCATTGGATTGATGATGATGATGATAATTTTTCCATTGCATTTAACATTGGATATCATCATTATTATTATTGTTTAGCAATATAGAATTATAATTATCTTGTCTTTTGTCTTTCTATAAATTTCGATTTGTATCGTATCGTATAATTCTAAATAATAAGCTACAATTAATATTATACACACAATAGAAAGTTTGCTAGATTCTAGATTTTATACATGTTCAGTCAGTCAGTCAGTCATTGGCTCCATTGAATTTGAATTGAATGGAATGGAATATATGAATTGTGAAAATATAGTGAATGAATAGAAGAAAAAAAAACGACGATGATAATAATAATTATATGCAAATAAATGATTATTGTATTAATTGTAAGGTATATCATTCTCATCATTTTCAGCTTCCTTTTTTTCTATTCTTTTGCTTTATCTCCTTCACAACCCCCGCCCCGTTGTGGCATCCCCATTTCTTTTCATTTCCTATTTATTCATTCGTTAAATGATCCAGGATCGTTATAGAGAGAAAGAAATTTTTTTTTATTTTGAAATAATATAATAGAAACATGGAAAATTGGTTAGTTTGGTAGTGATAGCTACCAAACACAAATACACAATGAATTTGTGTGTGTGTGTGTGTGTTTTCGACGTTATTCAGGCGTCCCGGATACCCGCGTATACCGAGTTAATTAGTTTAAAAATGAAAATAACTAT